GAAGCTGCGTCCTCTCTTCCTGAGACACTCAACGCTACAATAGAAAAAGGCGACTATAGCAGTGAAACAGTGCCTAACGTGGAACAGTGGAGACTGACTGTTCTGGAAGAAGATGCCTGAAAGAACTTTTATCACACATGAAGAAAAGAACTTTCCAGGCTTTAAGGTTTCTAATGACCGATTGACAGTGATGTTTGGCGGGAATGCAGCTGGTGACTGAAAGTTAAAAGCTGCTCTCTTAATTTACCGCTCCGAAAACCCAAGAGGCTTAAAGAATATATCTACAATTAGCTTATCAGTGATTTGGAAGTCAAATCAAAGCTTGAGTGACAGTTTACGTTTCTGAGGACTGGTTTGGTCACCACTTCATACCTGAAGTTGAACGTTATTACAAGTTCCAAACGGATTCCATTTAAAGTGATACTTCTTAGTGACAATGCACCCGGTCACCCCATCCTCTTAGCTCCGTAAAATGGACTAACCAAGTGAAGTTCGGCAACTTTGATTGCCTGTGGAAACGTCCGCCCCATTTTCCAGAGCGCATTACTCTAATTGTCGCATCAACCCTCACGCTGGAACACCGCTACCGTTTCTAGCAATCAACACGGGTGCTACATGAACTCACTCTACAACGATAAACTTGAATCAACAAAATTTCCTGCAACGAATTACTGAAATTAATGGCATTGTCTAGTAAACGTGTAATCCGAAATAAGGCACGGACCGCAAACCTACCGCGAGACCCACCGAGAGTTCGAGCCCATAGGAGTTTGATGGGACTTTTTAACATTGCTTCTAGCATCTATCAGGACTGCGTCGTCGGCCACGTTCAAATCAACTTCGTCATTGACTCTATGATGCTAACAGCACTGAAGGATTTCATAGGCATCTAAGTCCTGGCGACTATATTACTAATTGAGACCACGGTGATGACACCATCATTATATCATCAAACTTCGATGATACGCAATATGCATATCGATGATACGCCTGAAACACGAAGAAAAACTTGTTCTCCTATGTGCGAGTCCTATAAAAGAAGTAATCGTCGTGGCTATCCCACAGATAATCTATTCTTCTAAACATATGGGCGGTGTAAAGATGCGATTAGGGTTCGAACAGAAGCAGCAAGGAGGGCTTTCTGACGGTTCAGGAATCTGCTGCGGAAATGGCGAGCGATCAGTTCAAAGACGAAGTGCCGAATTCTACAGACTACTTCATCATCCCGTACAGATGCAAAAGCCAAATGCAGAGAATCGAAAACACAAGGAAACTAGAATCTGCAGACACTGGCGTTGATGAATTATCACGTGGACGAGATCTGTAGGCCATAGATCCGAAGCCACAATGGTTGCAACACCCACCATTCAATATCCTGAAAAAACAATGTGTCTGCGTCATGCTGATATGCAAACTTGACGAAATTGCATTTATCGTTATGCTGAACGCCATCCCTACACTGAATGACCCGAAAAAGATGCGAAAAAGCTAAGATCTGATGTCCTTTTTGGGACGGCAGTGTATGGGAATTATCAGCGGACAGAAGAACTGACCGAACTTGACACCGAGCGTAACGCATGAACGATAGAGGTTGAGAGGAGCGATCCGGGACAACGCCGTTATCGCGTAATCCAGAGACTGACAGCTGTGACAACAACAACATATCAATATTCCATATTTCGAGGTTGAAACGCGTAACTCTATATATCATATTTAATAACATTTCAAAACAAAAAAGTAAGTGAAAAAGAAAAAAAGAACCAGCGTAAATAAAGGAGGAAATGAGACAGTCGAAACAATACCGAGCAACACTGCATACAGAGAAACATTACAGAGCCTATCGTTCGTAGTGACCTCTTAAGTGCACCATGATGTAGTCAGTGGCCGACCTCTTGTCAAGGTAGCACATA